CAGCACAGCTATTTTGTCAAGAGGTATAGAAATGCACTGAGAATTTTGACAACACATGCATGGCGTTTTCTTCTGAATCTTTGGTATTTTTCAAGAGATGTCACAGAAGTCTGTTTTTGTGGAATTTCAGGGCTGCCTCAATATTTTGTTTTCGTCTCTCCTTCATGCATTTTAATATTGAAAAGATCAGACAAATGGAAATTATTTACAGGAAATACGCATGTGGAAAATCCATAACAGCCCACACGACTGACTGCACCGGCCCATTGCCTGTAATATAATGTCACACACAAAATGTATTCCAGTTATTAGGAAAGCTGGAAGTGAGTCAATTATGTGAATAAACAAACAAAGACCTGGTCTCCCCGTAGTTTAATGCATCACTGAGGTATCCGAAGGCTCCTTTCCCACGCCTGCTGCCTCATTCCTGAACTAGCAGGAGCTGTTGTGCAAGGCAACTTGACAACCCATAATAACCAGGTAGCTCGGCACACTGAAGCAATCCTTGTACACCGTTTGCACATCTGGGGCACAGGGGATGCACAAGTGCTTGTGGATGTCTGCGGATTAAGAGGAGGCTTTGCAGCTTAGGAAAAGGGAAGGATCGGGCTTCTCTGGTCCCTCCAAAGCGGAGACAAATTCTTGCCTCGTGTGCACACGAGGGATACAGCAGGTTGGTCTGGCTAAAGGTGAACAAACCTCAGTAACTCAGCCAAAAGAAGTAACTCTGCCTCAAAGCTGGCTACACCGATAGCCTTGCCGGTATGCAACAGCTCTAAGGGAGAATTCTCAGGTAACCGAACAAGGGTAAGCAGAAGCAGTGCATGAAAGAATCAAGTCCCATAGATCTAAACGAAGGTTCTTGTGCTGTGACATAATATGATTATTTTAATTTCTTAAGAATGAAAGCCTTCACTTCAAAAGTGAACAATGCTGTTTCCATTAAGGTCTCTGACTGGGTGTCCAAAACCCCGTAGAACTGTTGGCCAATGTATTTATATTGATTCTGGGAGTCGGTGCAAGACTCATGACATTTCTCCTTATTAATTGCCTGGCTCTAGTGTGGTTGGATTTTGCAAGTTATGACACAGTAAATACATTTGTGTCACTTAGCAACCTCAGCTGTTTCTAAAGGAATGTCTTTTGTTCTTGGAAATGTATTATAAATGCAGGTTACAAAACGATTATAGGGGAATTTAAACTCGCCTTAGTTGGATGGCATTCTGGCCTCTCCCCATTCTGCATTGTAAAGCGTGCATAGGAAATTAATTTCCTTTGCACGAGCATCATTCATTGGCACCGCATCTATTGTTATGAAGAGAAGCTCTGCATATTTAATAGATATGACAGAAGTTTCTGTTGAAAATAAAAGACATGAGAAACGACCGTGGAAACAAAGGGCTGGAAAGGACCTCCTTGGCCCGGGGTTTGCTGAGGGCAAAGCCCTCCGACTGTTTCATAAACAACTCTATAAATACTTTACCATCATGATGCAATACTCCACAGCCTCTTTCATGAACTTATCAGTCTGATTTATTTTAACACGCAACACTGGAGCCTGAGATCAGAGATCACCCAGCTCCAGCACACGGGGTTTGGAAATGTAAACACCTGCACAAACTCGGTGTATTTCTCACGGCACATCAGCTGGGTTGTTGTTTCTGTGTCGGTGCTCAGAATGATCCTGAACATATACAAACATGCAGTGGAAGGACTCCTACTTACACAGCTGAGATTACACTGGATTGCAGACTTCACATGGGATTTAAGGGTTTTTCTTTGTTTGTGCTTAATAGGTTTAAAGCTCAGGTCACACCTGCTGGGACACCTTGTCAGGATCAGCACCTCAAATATAGGTAAGGTTTATAAACTGACCTTGATGTTCTGAAATGAAACACGTTTCCAGGATACACTGTAAAATTATGTAAAAATTGGCGGTGGCCACATAATGGACACAATTAGTGCTTGTTTACGAAACCTGCAGGCTCCAGCCTCTGCCCAAGGTATCTCAAAGTCAAGGATTACTAAAAATAGCTTAAAGACTGTTTTCTAAAAATGTGAACAGATGAATGCAAAAGAAGAGAGCAGATGAGCCATAGAAATGAAAGGAACCGATTATTGTTCGCAACTGTAAAATCTTGTTAATAGAATGACTGAGACAATCATTTGCTGTGGTAATTTGGGCAGTCCAGAACAGAAGCAGACAGCACAGAGAAATGTAGCAACCCCAAGGAAAAAAAAAAAGCCCAGAGTCCCAGAGTGATGTTCAAACTACAACTCAGGAAAAATGCTATTAGTGGTCAGGAAAACATTGTCAACAGTTCTGGAACTGTCTTCACCCTTTTATTTTTAAAAGAATTCGCCCCTATCCATAATTTTTTGGCTTTTTTTCTTTCATAACAAAAACTATTGTGCTAAACTGCTAAAGCAAAAGCAGCGCTCGAGAACCCACCACCAACACTAGAAGGCAAAGAACATTAACTTTGATTTTCCCAGTCTGAATGAGAAAGCTGCTTTCCAAGGGCACTCCAAAGCCTTGCTAGAACTAACCTGAGGCTCAGCCAAAGGACTTCATGGATGCAGTGCACGGAACCCCAGCCTCTACCCAGCAGCCAACCCTGTTATTTATGCTCACAAAATCTGCATTGGGGCACATATACGTTTGACAGCTGCTGTTATTGCAAAACTCACTGTTTGTGTTGTTCTTGCTTCTACAGGCGGCAAGGCACAAGTGAGCAGCTCACGGCTAACAGGCCGCTGTTGTGATCTCTGCCACCAACATCTGATCAAGGCTGTTGACAGCACAGAGCATGCTCTTGGAGTTGGTCTGGGTTTAACCCCAGAAAGGTCACTGGATGCTGAGATCCAGCCTGCACAAGAGCACAGAACATAAATTCACACCAAGCCTCCTTTGGCGTAGTTTTCCTTTGTAAGTAAATCGACAAAGGGTACTTCAGCCCAGATGTGGGAAATGTTGTACCCTCTGCAGCATTTAAACTCTTCACTCCTGCTGCAAAGTGCAGCTAGAATTCCAAAGTAGTGGCTGAGGTTCATGTAATCCTCTAGAACGCAAACTGAAATGCTCTTCTGGCATATTTACAATACTCATTTTGTATAGGTGGGAAAGCTATTAGCCCCAGTAAGCAGTACCCAGCGTAAATATTTTCAGTGGGCTCAGTCCTCACATCCCCAGCAGGTATTTAGTTGGTTGACTGTCAAGGGGGCACCACTGAAGTTTTGCATGAAAAAAGATCTGAGGAGATGGGATTCTGCGACTGGCTGCACTCTGATCTCCCCATCTGGGCACTGATCTGCTCTGCACTGCAAACTTCTCCCAGCACTGCTGCTGGCTGGGGGTGCAGTGATGTGCCATTTGTGATTATCGCTGCTGGGCTCATGAAAGCCCCAGGTGTAGATGTAATCGTGAGCAACACTGTGCTTTTGCTGGAATAGCTTATTTTGCTTTGTGGGAGGAGAAGAAAGGGCTGGAATAAGCTGCACCGGGTTATTGCAGTTTTGCTTGTACGGAATACCAGATTACCTACTCAGAGGTGCTTTGAATACAGATCTCCTGTGGAACAGGAATTGATCCATCTACTGCATCTGTGCGGGCCTTTATTTCACTGGAAAACACCACATAGTGAGTAATGAGTGGTACAAGTGCTCGCTTAACACTCATCTGTAGAACAACGTGATCCGAGTTTGAACTGCCTGCTACCAACAGGGCGTACAAAATCAGAAAGTGTCAGTCCATTGAGCATAGGTGAATAAATAACAGAGGTGCTGCATGCCTGGCCCAGAGGTGCAGCATGGGTGCACAGGGACGGGCACCAGGCACAGGCACAGGCACAGACACATAGGCTCTCTTCCATTCTGTGCACCGAGTGGAAGTGGCTCAGGGCAGCACGGACAGTCATCTCCAAGGCTGTCCCCTCTCCCGTGCCACGTGCTCACTCTCTGAGCAGGACGTGGTGCCGACAGCAGCTCCATGTGTGAGCAGCTGCCTCCATCGGCACTCCCACTGGTGTCAAGGCCGCTGCTATCACATACAATTACGTGAATGAACACATCCCGGACTGTTTTGAAATCCAGGCAGCGCTATCAGACAAACTCCTGCAGGATGGTGACAGGCTGAGCCATCCTCTGAGCCCCCGCGGACAGCCGCAGCAAAGCATGCTCCACTTCTGCTAGTGGTGATGGTGGGGACGAGACCCTCAAAGGCACTTCCGTGCTGGGGAATTAAAGGCAGGATCAGTAGGCAGCTGGAGGTAAAGGCAGCGTGCGCACACCAAGCAGAGCAGCCACGAGCGCGGCCTGTGGAAGGTGCGAACACACGGGCAGCCGTGGCGCGGCCGCGCTGTGGGATGAGAGCACCACAGAGGCAGCACGCGGCACCGCGAGCCGCTCCCGCCGGCGGCACCGCATCGTACGGGCATTCTGAGGAAAACGCCCGGCGTTAAAGGGAGCGCAGAACCACCCGGCCGCGCCCACGCTGCGGGCTCCGCCAACGAGCCCCAGGGCTCCGCCGGCCCCGACGGACCCCCGGCTGCGGCGCGGACCGCCAGCCCGCCCTCGGCACGCGGCCCCGCCCCTTCACGCCTCTCTGCCAATCACCGCGCCCCGCCCCGAACCCCGAGCTGCGGGGTTTGAAAGCGGGCCGCTCCATACGCCGCGCAGACGGGGGTCGACGGCGCGGCGGGGTCGCGGGCCGGCGGGCGGCTGGGAGCGGAGGGCGTTCCGCCGGCCCGGGAGTGCCTCGCGGCAGCACGGCGGGGTCTCCTCGGGGCCGAGCGCCGCGTTCCGGCGGCGGGAGCGGGGGGCGGGCGGATCGGCGCCGGGCCTCGCCCCCCCCGCCCGGCGCGGTGGGAGGCGCCCGGGCTCCCGCGTCACCCATTGTTTACAAACCAACCCCAGCGGGCCGAGCTCCAGCCCCGACCGCAGCCGCCGGAGCCGCGCGTGCTGGCGGCGGTGCCGGTCCCGGTCCCGCCGCGCGGGCCGCCATGCCGTGCCGGCCGGGCGAGCGCTTCCTGCTGCTGGAGCGCTCGGTGGCCGTGGGGCCGGCGGGCTCCAAGGAGGTGGACGCGCTGGTGGCCAAGCTGGGCGAGGTGCTGCAGCTGAGCGCCCAGCGGGCGCCGCCGCCCCGCGGCTCCAAGCACCAGCCGGGGCCGGGCAGCGCTCGCGACCGCGCCGCGCCCTACTCGCCGCGCTGCTGCCCGCCCGCCCCGCCGCCCGCCGCGCCGCGGCCCGAGCAGCAGCGGGTGGCCAAGCAGCTGTGCGGCCGCGGCTGGCTGCGGAGCGCCGCCCGCCGGAGGAAGCAGCAGCGGCGGCCGCCGCCGGGCCCGCCCGACCCGCACGAGGAGGACCCGCACCGGCTCCTGCAGCAGCTCATCCTCTCCGGGAACCTCATCAAGGAGGCGGTGCGGCGCCTGCAGCTGGCGGCGGCCGCCGTGGGGAGCGGCGGAGGGGACGGCGAGGCGGCGGCCGCAGCTCCGCAGTAGGCGAGCGGGGGGCGACGGCCCGCTGCTTGGTGCCCGCTGCTCGGTGCCCTCCGCCCGACGGACCGCTCCTCCCCGCGCAGCGGAGCCCCGTGCAATAACCCCGGAGGGACCGGCGGGAGGTTTTTATTGCTTTTTATTTGAGACTTTATGATATATCTATCTATTTTTCCCCTCTTCGTGACTGTATGAAGCAGTTCGGGGAAAAAAAAAACAAAAAAACAAAAAAACAAGACAACAAATGTGAATACGGGAGGAGGAAGGCAGCTGGACTTACCCTGTGAGGCCGACGGGTGCTGCAGCCGGAGCGCATTGTTCCAGGAGGCCGCCGGAACCGGGCTTTTCTACAAAAAAATAAAAAGAAAAAAAAAAGAAAAAAAGAAAAAAAAGGAGAAAAAAATCCCCCCCTCCCCGACAGACTCTCAATGGCTTCGCTACGAGATGCGGCTGTTGGTTCCATTTATGCGCTTCGTACCGGAGTGTGTGCAATGTGTTCCTGGTTCGCAGGACGATGTCTCACTGAACCTGTCTGTATCGAATAAACGTGCTCGTGTTTGTACGTGCGCTCCGCGTCTCATTGTTACGGGGAGAGGGTTCCGCTTCGGGCAACGAACCCGCGGTGGCTGCTGGGGGGGTGGGGGGTGGGGGAAAACGGACGGTCCCTTCATCTCCCATTTTGCAGACGGAGCAACAGAACAAAAAAAAGCCCACGGCGAACCGCAGAGCAGCGGCTGCGGCCGCCGCCGCCGGGCCCCTTTGTTCGGAGCCGGGCGATACGGGCATCGGACCGCACCGAGGGCAGAACGGGGGCTGCGCGGGCAGTCGGGATTCGGCTTTTGGGGAAGAGGACAAAAGGAGGCATTGGTGTAGGCAGCGGGAAGGGCACTTTTTTAAAAAAGCCATCGAAAGCGCAGGACGTGGCTGTCGTTGGGCTCCGGCACCCGGTGCGAATGCGGCGCGACCCCGCGTGAGGGTTCCCCAAATCGCGGAGCGGCCCCCGGCCTCCCGGCTGCGGAAGCGGACGGCATCGCCTTTGTCCGGGAGCGCGCTCCGAGCCGTGCCCGCCCCGTGCCCTTGGCGGCGTTGTGCGTCGCTCTGCCCCGGCGCTCTGCGCCCGCGGTGCTTCCAGCGCTCCGCCGTGCTCCTCCTGCACCGGGAGCGGGACGCGCTGTTACTGCTACCGCTACCCCTATCTTGGTTCAGTTATAAGCAGAACGCAGCGTTTCGATCTCAAGGTATGTGAAATGCACGGGAAGAAGATCAGCGCTTCGCAGAGCCTCCTTCGTTAAGAACATCCGAAGTCCTTCCTCTCTGAACTTGTGCTGCTTTTGTGGCGTTTTGCACCGTTTGGAATGGGCTCAGATGTGCTGTGTGTCCTTCACCTTGAACACGTAATACAGTGAGGAGGCTGTCCTTGCTTCACAGGGGCTTTCTGTGCCATGTTGCTCTTTCCTTCTTAATCCAGAAAGAAAACTTCTAGAGAACATAACCCTAGAATCAACCCCCAGCCTCAAATACAACTGCAAGCCAACAGCACTCTTGTGCTCCTGCGTGTGCCGTGGGGATGGCCAGGCAGATTTATGTGGACTGTGCCAGCAGTGGGATGAGTTTGGGCTGAGCACTTAGATTCCTGCACCCAAACGGCCGGAGGGGTTGGGAGCACAGGAGGGGGCCAGGAGCGCAGCCCGAGAGCTGTGGATGGGGCTGTCATATGGCTGCACTGCCAGCTGTGATGCTGGGAGCTGCTGGGCCGCCCGCAGTCTCTTCCCACCGATAATTATGCATCGGTTCTGCATTCCCCTCTTCTCCCCCCCTCTCCCCCCCGCCAGACCTCAACCCTGTGTACTAATGAGAGCAGCTAACTTTACAAGTGTCCTTTGTAGTCGCTGAAAGCCCGGAGCCATTCCTTGGAAGGATTTTACTAGAATAACACTTCTCAATAAACTGGCGGTTGGAGTGAGGCTTAGAAAAGATGCTAATAAATCTCACAGTGACGGGCTGGTTTTTAAGCTTCCTAAATTACTTCCAAAATAGCTCTTACTTTCCCTTTGTGAGCGGCAGGGTGGTGTGTGTATGGGAAGGATTGGAGTGAGCCAGTGCAATGTGGTGTGGGACGGTTGGGCACAGGGATTTGGGCACTTGTTTGAGATAACTTCTGTAACTCATTGATGTGTCTCCATCGTTTGTAACACGAACATCCCCAGCTCATGCCAGTAACCTTCATCCTGACGTACATCTTCCTTTTAAAGCTGTAAAATTGGCTCATTCAAAACAGTGCACGTGTCGCTTCTGCATGGAGAAACATTTATTGTGTTGCTGGGAGCCAAGTGTGACGCGACGTTGGATCGATGGAAATGTCACCATAAGGTTTCCATTGATTCATTGCAAATTTCTCAAATATTGTCGCTGTGCTGTGTGAGCATGAGACAAAAAACAGCTTTGATACAAAAGTCCTCATTGATTTTGGTGTCCAAAGGCTGAGCAGTGAAATAAGCATTTCTGTAAGCCTTAATACCTGTGTTGTGGAGTGGGGTTTCTTTCATGTGCCTATCCTGTCCTGGCCCTCGGTTACCAATTGTCTGGAGGAGCAAATTTGGGTATGTGCTAAATTCAGCCTTCATGGTGTGCTCTGATTGTCTTCACTAGTAAATGAAAAAGCAGTGGAATAAAGTTGTATTTTCACAATAGGCATTGAGCTACGTTTTATCACCATCTTTTTTGTTCTGTCTCATGAGGAGAAATCTATTCAAACATGAGATATTGCAGCAGGTCCACATATGAGCTGGGGCTGAAAAATAGCCCTGTGAGGCATTTGTACCGAGTGGTATCACACGACCATGCATTTGGGAATGTGTTTGAGGATAGGGGGGTGTATTTGGGAGGTAGACCTGGCACTGAATACATTGGAAAGGTGTCCCTTGTGCCTACCCATTCCCTGGCCCTGTGATTCTCCCCTCCTCACCCTGTGTTCTCCCCTTACCTGGGCCTTTTTTGTTGCTTTTCAGGAAGTATTTTTTGACATTTCTCCATTTGGTTTCAAATATTGTAGCTTGCACACTTCTGGGCAGCCCAGGTCTGTTTTAATTCCTATAGGCCTTGTGTTATTTGGAGGATGAGTTGCAAGTATCTTGTATGCCGGCTTTGTAGAATGCAGGGCAGCAGTCAGGGATGAAATCCCAGCTGCAGTGACGCGAGTTGAAGAGAACAGAAAAATTCCTCCCAGCTTCTGTGGGAATTTCCTCCTGTATTTTGTATACATAGCTGGAAATGCTTCCAAAAGCAATGCTTTCTCTGTGTGGATGACTAAAAATTACTCCAAGTGGCAAACTTCTGCAAATGCTGTGAGGAAAGGCAGTTTGCTGGGAGGAAGGTGGTGCCCTCAGTGGGCAGCACGGCAGCAGACACTGCAGAATCCACACCAGAGGCAGCTACAGGAAGCCAGGCTTCATCAGCTCCGGGGCACAGAGAATTAGTGGCTCCTTATGCAATATCCTGGCTCTAACCTGTATTATTTTTGCTTCCTTTTATCTAATCTGGTGGTTTCTGTTGGAGTAATACACCTAGCCAAGGGTACTCTTCACTTCTGTAGGTGTTAGGACATTGGTGATTAAAACAAATGGTAGAAAATCATCTTGTCCTTGATGGCCTCAGCTGCATGGTGTGCTCTGGAGAGGTTTTAGTCCTACAGCTCAGTGCCATTGAGCTTAGGAGCAGCATCGAATTTAGGAAGCACATTTTTCATTTGGTGTTATGTGATGAAACAGCACCAGCATGAAAATGTTTTAATTAGAGGAAATGGATCCTGGCTGGCGTTACGCTACATATTTGCTTCTCTAAGCGTTTTCTTACAAGAGGTCGAGACTTATTCTGCCTGTATCACAACAACTGCCCTAGTTTCAAGGCTTACACCTGCAGAATCACAGGCTCTAAGTTAAGGTGAACATTTGGGTTATTAGTGCTCTTAAATCCACATTGAAATGCCTTTTTGGTTTTACAAAACCGGTGGTTTTCCACAGGAAACCAAGCAGCGCTGCAGCAGATGACAGAGCACATGTGTGCACGTCCCCAGGTTCTCCAGGAGGATGGAAAGCGAGGGGGTGTGTAATCCTTTCCCCTTGTCAGAAGGCAGCTTTAGCAGTTGGCATTGTGCCCAGCTGCCAGGCATCGTGCAGGTATGCCCTGCCAATGTGGTGTGTCGTCTGTGTGTCAGTTTGGAAGGTCAAAAAAACGTGTATTTTCCATCCTGCTGCTGTAGCTCTTCTGTTAGCTTCTACCAGCCTGCTCCAACAGCTGCCGTCCTCCAAGGCCTCCCATACAAACCTCCTCTGTCACCCTCTGCTTCATCCTCAGTCTGGTTTGGGTCCCTCCTGCTGACTCATAGGATAAGGAAATTCTATTTAAAAAAAAGTGATATGGCAAACAGAGGGCTGTCAGACCAGTAGCAGAATGGAAATAAGAGAGAGAAACTCCCACCTTTACATCTTGTGCTGTTTTCCCCCTTATTTTTCTCCCTTTAAGAGGAGCTACAGATGTTGGATTTGACGATTGTATTTGGACTTAGTTCTTTTCCAAACTAAATGATTTGATGATTCTATGTTGAGTACCTCTGAATGAAAAAAAGGCCTACCTTTTAGGGATGTGAAAGTGATCCAGAACTCCCACTTCTGACTTTTCCTTTTTTTTAATTTTTTATGTATTTATTTATTTATTTTTCTGGAGACCCCTTCACAGCACATTTGTTTTGTGATGCTCGTGTTCTTCAGACTGTTCTTCAGAGGTGCTCTTGGAAGAAGCAGTAGACATAGAATCGTAGAATGGTTTGGGTTGTAATGGACCTTTAAGATCATCTAGTTCCAACCCCCTGCTATAGGCAGGGATACCTTTCTCCAGACCAGGTTGCTCACAGCCCCATCCAGCCTGGTCCTGAACACCTCCAGGGAGGGGCATCCACAGCCTCCTTGGGCAACCTGTTCCAGTGTCTCACCACCCCCACAGTAAAGAAT